GCTCAAAAGTGTGAGGCACTGGGTTGGATTAAATAAATAAAATAAAGATATTTAAAAAAATCTTTGATGCTCCTTGATTCTTTGATAGAATTCCTTTCAAAAGATAGACCTTTGTTCTTTTCGCCTTCATTGTGGGCTAGACCTAGTCACAGTGACTCATTTCTCAAGACTAGAATGTAGCTCAGGTGTTACTGGGACCTCTGAGGAGTATCATGCAAAGGATAGCTTTTCATCTTGCTTTCTCAACCTCTGAACCTCTGCTTCTGGTTGGAGTGAGCCAGCTGCCCAGTTGGGAAGTGACAGCTGCAGCCCTGTGGAAGGCCCCCTGGAATAGAAAAGCCAGCCAGCCAGGTGAATGAGCCAAGCCACCCCGAAAGCAGAGCCTCCTGCCTCAGTAAAACCTTCCGATAATTCTAGGCCTCCAGAAAACAGGAAAAAACAAACCATGCTGCTCTATGTCTGAATACTTGACCCATGTAAATTACGAAATAATAAATAATTACTATTATTTCAAATTGCCGAGTTTTAGGGTGATTCATTATGCAGCAATAGATAATTAATACAGAGGAGTCACCAGGGCAAGAAAGAAGTGAGGAGAGTTTAGGCCAGGATTTAAACTTATCTCCATTTATGGAACTATTAATTGCTGATGGATATCCACCAACTCCCTGTATTTTTTTTCTATTATATATTTTTAAATCAAGATGTAATTACGTACAACATGCACAGATCTTAAATGTTCTTCATGGAGTTTTGACAACGGTTTATACCCATGCAACCACCTCACAAGATACGTAAGACTTAGTTCCATTGCTCAGAAAATCCTCTCTAAACCTTTCCAGTCAATTCTTTCATTTCAACTCCATAATCACTGTTCAAATTCTATTACTATAGATTATCTTTGATTTTTTAAATGAATTTATATCAATAGAATCATGCAGTAGGTATTATTTTGTGTCTGTTTTCATTTATTTAGCACACTGTTAGTGAGATTAATCCAAGTCATTGTCTATATTGATAGTTCATTCCTTTTCTTATTGGAAAGTCTTATTTTACTGACAAATATATTATAATTTATTTATCTGTTATTCTGGCATTTATTAATTAAGATAAATTTGGTTATTAATACCTCATCATATGTGGTCAAAACATCAAATTTACATGTTGAAAAATTTGAAATTATAAATACAAGGCAAATTTTGTAAATAGATAAAATGCATGATGAAATAATTGACAATTATCACTTCTACAGAATTTCATAGGATGAGAAAAATCACAAGCCCACTGTTGACTATAAAGAGAACATTGCTTACATGACATTTGACTCAAAAATATAAACTGCCATGCAAAAATTATAAATGGGTCAATTCTTTTGAGAACAAAATAGGCCTAAAGACACATTTCAAATTAATGATGTCAAAAAATAAAATGGAAAACTATATGATAGTTTTTTTTTCTTTTCTACATGTGTATATGGGCACAGACATGGATCAGCATTAACCCTGGAGTCATTTTAGATATGGAGTCCAGTGAGATGTTTGGAGATAACGGTATTGAATACAACAAACAAGTTCCCAATTATTCTCTGCAGTGTATTTGATACTCCTTTAAATGAAATCTAACTGGATGCTTTTGATATACTTAATTACATTTTACAGAAACTTGATATAAGCCTTAGAACTTTAATAATTTCTTTCTGAAATCTTTTTTTGTTGTTGTTGTTGTTCTTGGCCAATGCAAGTTATGTGCTCAGAAATGTTAGTTTAGATTATTTTTAGTTGGATTTCCTAAGGACATTTTGTTAATGATGTTACTTTTAAAAGAGTTGTCATCTTCCCTAATCTAAGCTTCTGAGGCAAAAATACTTCAAAATAATGCTAAATTTGAGATATACTACAAAGATAGAGGTACTAAGTTTAATTTAAATTTTTTCCCTGAGAATCAAAATAATCTCAAACTACGTGTTAACTACTCTCCTGCAATTTCTAGTTTACAATCTCTATAAGTTTTGAGTTATGAGAATAACCAAGAATATCTGAAAACACTTTGTTTCTACTTTGCCTTTTCTCCCAATAATATAAGTGCATGAAGAAGCTATTACATACCCTATAAAACAGTGACATCATAATTTATGAATACTAAAGAAGCCCCAGTTTATTTCTGTGACATCTATGATGAACTGGAAATGTGATTTTATCAGTAGAAAGGAGAGTTTTCTCATTCTGTCCTTAATGACCATCTAATTTCATTTGGCGCTTTGACTGCTCTCAATCACTAACCATTTGACAACAACTCTTCTCACCTTCTTCTTTGACTTTCCTATAGCATTCGAATGAAAATGACATTCTCACCACTATTATCTTGTGATATTGCCAAGGGTGATTCCCCTCAAACACGGTTTATCCAAGCTGCTGGAAATCTGAGCAGGAGTGAAGAACTGTACATTACTGCCTCCTTTGCTAGAAGCTGAAAACTGAACTAGGCAGTTATAATCAGACTGAATGGGTTACAATTTATCTGGGATGTGTTCACTGTTACTGGTTTCATTTGTAGCTAGTCTCAGCTAGGCAATTATAGTAAGTCTTTATTATAAAAACACACAATTATCCTCCGAATCCACAGTTTTGCTTTTTGAAATTTTTAAGTGGAAAATTCCAGAAATAAACAATTCATAAGTTTTAAGTAACTTTTATTGCAGTAATTATCTTAATCATTCTATTTTATTATTAATTTACTGTGCCTAATTTATAAATTAAACTTTATCACAGGAACGCAGAGGGGAAAACAGTGTGTGTGTGTGTGTGTGTGTGTGTGTGTGTGTGTGTGTGTATACATGGTTTGCTACTATTTGCAGTTTCAGGCATCCACTGAAGGTCTTTATATACGTCATCAATAAGGGGGGACTAGTATATACACAACTTTAAATCATTCTAATTCTGAAACTTAGAAGGCATGTACAGGAATACCCTATTTTCTTGTTTAACTACTATAACTTACATCAAACTTAATGTTTTAAGGAATAGAATAGTAATATTTTTCTTCCTAGCTAAGTGCCAACCCAGCATTATCATCAACAAATAGAGCCTGTATGTAGTCCTCAATTGTTAATAACAGGAGTAATGATCTCCACCGATGTGTTAGTCAGCCTCCCATTACTATAACAAATGCCCAAGATAAATCAACAGAAAAAGAGGAAAGGCTCAGAGTTTTGGAGGTTCCAGTCTATTCTGGATTGGTATCATTGCTTTGGGCCTGTAATGGCACAATACATCACAGCAGGAGCACCTGGCAGAAGACACCCATTTACCTTAGGATACAGAAGTGAAAGAGAAGAGGCCTGTTCCTAAATCCCCTTTCAGGGCACAACCACAATGATCTAACATCTTTGACTAAGCCCCATCTCTTAAAGCTTTCTACTACTTTCTAGTTGCACCAAGCTGAGGACCCCAACATTTAAACATGGGCATTTGGGGAGTATTTATTCAAACCATAGCAATCGACTATTGTATATATTATGGTAATACTTCAAGGTATTTTTGTAAAGTACTCAGATAGCCTTAGGCTCAAGATAACAGATGATTCTATGATAGAAAGAATAACACCTATGATAATTAAGTTGTTTAACGTCATAAACAATTTAAATAGTCCACCCACTTGTTTGTCCATAAGCAGTGTACATACAGGATTGATTAACAAAATAAGTACTCCACAAGGCCACTGACTTTGGATTTCACATTTGGTTTTCCTGATTCTCATCCCTACCTAGGTGAGTGACTTCACAATGAGGTTACTTAATTCTGATAATCAATATTTTTCATCTTTAACAATGAAAACTATAATCATAAAGTGCTTATAAGGAAGTAATATGAAACACTGAATGTGCTTGCTGCAGAATATTCAGTAATTGTCCCTATTTATTATTATTATTATTTGCAGGTGTTGGGGAGTGAACCCAAGGGTACTGAACCACTGAGCCACATTCCTCATTCTTTTTATTTTTTGAGACAGGGTTTCACTAAGTTTCTGAGGCTGGCCTCGAACTTGTAATTCTCCTGTTTTACCCTCTCCCGACTCTGTAATTAGAGGCATACTCCACTATGTCTGGCTAGCTTTATTATTAATAAAAATGAAAAATTAATTATAGGTAGTGAGTTGGCTTTCTATGTTCCATGGACCATATTTTTCTCACTTGTTCAAAAGGAAGGTATAAGTAAAACACTGAAGTTAATAAAATAAGTAAGGGTGAAGAATATATTTTATCTTCTCAAAGGTACTTTTGTGGGGAGTTGGCAGTTTATAAGGAGAGCTGATAACAATAATTTAATAATTCTGAGGAAACAGCAGGAAATTAGACTTTCTTTAAACTAGTTGATTGAAAACAATTTACCTACCATCTTGGCAAATCATTTCTTTTTGAATACAGGTTTCTGGATGTTAAAATGACCATACCAAAGGCATATAAATACTTGGAAGTGATGGTATCATTTCTTAGTGGTTTCACTGAAATTTGCTGTAAGCAGTACTGACTAGAGGTATGCAGGAATTAATTATAATCAGCTTTATTCATTTGCTTTGTGACTTTGGGCCAACACCCTTCTATCCTAGCACATTGTAGGTGCTTAAACTTAACTTTTACATGTTGTCTGGCTAAAACTGCCCCTCTCTAGGGTGGACTCTCCCCATAGGCTCTGCTGTCTAGTTAAATGAAGACTGCCTGAGAACTCCATCTATTTTATTTTATTATTTTACTTTATTTTTTGAGACAGGGTCTCACCAAGTTGTTTACGGCCTGGCCAAGTTGCTGGGGCTGGCCTTGAACTTGTGATCCTCCTGCTTCAGTCTCCCCACTTGCTAAGATCACAAGATTACAAGTGTGCACCATGGCCCTGACCCTTATACACTAATTAATAGAGCTTTTAAAAATAACGGAGATTTCACCATTATCCCACCATCTCTACAAACAATTTTTCAAAAAGCAAATACCTCAATGGGGAAAATACCTTTATTTTTTGGTTGGATTATAGAATTTAGAAGAGTCCACTGTTGGAAAATAAGAACAATCTAACTTCTGGAAGTGACTTCACAGCTTGGAGCGCAGCAAAGCCTATTTCGGATTAAACTGTCTGTTAATGAAACTCAAATGATTTAAACATTCATCACTTTGCATTGCACCTCCCAGAAAACAAAAACACAACAACAACAAACCTAGGGTTTTGAGTGAGGAAAACGGCCCCTGCGCGCGCGCGCGCGCACACACACACACACACACACACACACACACACACACACACTACACATGCACACACTCTGCACTCACTCACTTACTCCACTCCTGTCTACAGTGCTCAGATTTTAGGAGGCCTGAAGATTCGCGCCGGCTCCCACCGGCGATGGGAAACCCGCCCCGGGGCCGGTCAGGCGCTGCATCTCGGACCGTTGGCAGTTGGCGACCCCCCTTGAATCCCCCTCTGCCGCGGGCTCCCCGCGGCCTTTGCAGGCTCCGCGAGTCGGCTCCAAATGTTTTCCATATTTGTTCAGCCTCCGTAATTCGAATACCAGGGCAGGTTCAGCCCGCCCTGCGCCGCGCTCCCGGCCCAGGGCGCTGCTCACGCTCCCACCCCGCCACCCACCCCCGCGGCCGCCATGGGCAAGGACAAGCAGCCCCGCGGCCAGCAGAGGCAGGGGGGGCCGCCGGCTGCGGACACCGCCAGGCCCGACGACATGGGGCCGAAGAAGGGCAAAGGGGCCCCCAAGGAGTGCGGGGAGGAGGAGGCCCGGACGTGCTGCGGCTGCCGGTTCCCACTGCTGCTAGCCCTGCTGCAGCTGGCCCTGGGCATCGCCGTGACCGTGGTGGGCTTCCTCATGGCGAGCATCAGCTCCTCCCTGCTAGTCAGAGACACTCCATTTTGGGCTGGGATCATTGTAAGCATCGAGTCTGTTTTGCCTAAGCGCGTTTGCCAGACAGGAATGCAAAGCCGCATGGTCGAGTTCAGACTAACCCAACTGCATGCGCCCTTCCCAGCTCCACTCCTCTAACTCGCGCTGTGCTTGGTGACTGGTGCGGGGCACACTTGGCTTTCCCAGGGGTGAGGCTGGGCGCAATCGGAGCCGTGCCCTTCTGCAGGTCGCTCCCAATGCCTCCAAGGGGACTGATGAACGCTCTGGAGCTGGGCAGGCGCTCTAAAAGGCTGCGTGTTGTGGCCAAATTGTGGCTGTTAGCCTCAGGAGCTAACAGCACTTTGACTTCTTCCTTATCTGATTCCTCAGGTGCCACCCCTGTCCCTAAATAAGTAGCAAAAAGTGAAGTTCATCTAACTAATCAAAGTAGATTAGGGAAAAGGCTGAAGTTGCCACTTTGGGTAGTATAATTGTGTTAAGTGAGGTTCCATTAGTAGGTTTTATGAAATAATGTTTCAAGGCAGGAAATGTGAATGCAACAAGAACAGCCTCAATCCACTGGAGTCTAACCTAGGGTAAGCAGGGCTCTGGCCCTGGCAGAAGTATATTTGGGAGTTTGCTAATGGATGTACTGTTCTAAGCAGAACAGTGCTCAGCTGTTAGGAGTGTTGAAACACGTAGCATACTTGGCTTCATTCAATGAATTCCTTAATGTAAGATGGGTGCCATTTATTGAGCACCAACTATGTGCCTGTCCTGCTGGAAGCCTTTTAGATATTATTTCTAATCCCTACATCGTCCTTATGGGGCAGTTATTTTTCAAATGAGGGAACCCAGGCCGGACTGGCCCAGGTTAATGAGTCGACAAACATTCAGCAGATTGATTCCTTTCTACACCCGACTGTCTGCAATTTCTAATTGAGATCTGCTGCCTCACGTTTGATTTGCAATTTTAATACCATGTTATATTACAGTGACTATGGCCAACTAAACTTTCATGTGCATTTCATTTGAGCCATTAAATAATGTTTTGAGGTGGGAATTGTTATTCCTCTTTGGACAGAAGAAAACAGGCTAAGAAGTTAAACACATTCTCAAATCAAGAGAGTCAACAAGAGAGACTACAATCCACACTTCTGATTCCTAGTTTCATCTTACATCATTACTGCCATCACTGACCATGAAACTATAACTCATAAAACAACCTCAAAATAATTTTTTATCAGAGACAAACATTAAAGTCACCTGATAAATATGCATCAATGCAGGTACTTTCTAATTAAGATTATTTGAATTAACAAATTCTTGCAGAGTAATTTAAAACTTTTAGTCTGTGTACTAAGAATTCCCATGAAATTAACATGATTGGAGTTTTCTAAATCAAGTGATTTTAAAAATAGCTCTTCACTATACTAGGTATTTTCATCACCTCAATGGCTGTCAACATACTGTGAGGGGGGGGGGAAGATCTGTTCTTTAAGGATAGGCAAATTAAAAGAAAAAAGGAACAAAATCCTTTCACTGAGTGTTTTTTAGTATTGTTTTTTAATGTATCTTCTGTCTTTTATTTCAACTCCAAAAAGTCCCATACCAAAGAAGCAAATTAGATGGGGGAAAAACTTGTTGTAATGTTGATGGCATAACTTACAAAATATGCAATTTCATGAGTTAAAGTTCCTATGGGATATGATGTGCTTAATTGTCCTGGAAGCTCCCTGAGTGTGGCCGGAGCATTGCATATATCCCAGGTCTCTGATCTTTCTGATTTTCTTTTTTTTATAATTTAGGATTCCTTTGAAATTTGCTCATAGTATGTGGCCCAGATGGTACTTGTAATCTTGCGTTTTCTTTCAACAGAGAGACCTGAGACTAGTGAGGAGTTCTCTGAGAAATCAGACTAGGAACACCTCTCATCCCTCTGGGGCCAGAGCTATAGGCTCTGGCATTGTCTCACGCATGTACAGTGCTTGCCCTCACCACATTGGCTGTGGTTTGGTCACAGGGCACTCTTCCAAGTTTTCAGGGAAAGGGAAAGAAAGGGAGGCAGATGGTAAAGTGTAGATGTATAAACACTGTGCACAGTGTTGAGCCCCAGCTCAGACACTATTTGCTGAATCACTTTGGGAAGTTACTTAACTCTAAGTTTTCATTTCTTATGGAATCGGAATGACAATGGTAATTTCTACCTCTTAGAATTGTCCTGAGGATTATATAAGATAATGTATGTAAAGCCCTTGGAATAGTGTCAGCTGATGGTAAGCATACAACGAGTTAGCTCTTTTTATTAGCTATCAGTGAAACAATCACCAGTAGTGGCATTCTTCAAAGTACAAGTGGCCGTATTTCATTTCTAGTCTAACAGAACAGTCATTTCTGACTTGCTCCATTTCTCAGACCCTTTTTATCATCTCACCCTTCTCTGCTCTCAGCCAAGTTACTATTTAGCAGGTACCATGGTATTAGATTAGTCCAGTACTTTCTGAATCTCTCTGGAGGTTTCTAAAAATGAGCTTGGAAGAGAGGGGCATCCTGAGGGTCATTTTCCCTTTGGAGTCCCGGATGACTCTGATCTGGTATATCCTGCAGGGACAACTGAAAAGTTTGCCCTGTTGAGGAGACTCACCACACCAGAGCCAATCCATGAAGCTGAGGCAGAGCCACACCCACCTCCTGGACATAGGCAGACAGCTAGATCCACCCCCTCTACACTTTGTGTGCGTCACTCTTGTTGCCTCTTAATTGTGTGGTCGTGGCTTCATTTTTCAAGTGCTGCCATTCCCTTAACTTGGGATTTGGAGACTGCCATTTCCATTGTGGAAACTGGGTATATGGATAAGTTAAGTTCACTTCGGTGACTTCTTTCTGGTTGATCAAAGCCAGAGTGGACATGAATGTTCTGGGAACTTCTGTTTGTAGTCTGATAAAGCCATTGTTGATGTATGATCAGAGTTTTATGTGTAGTGAAATTTGAGGAAAACGATTAGGTTATATCTTATCTATCTTCCATATTTACCTATCCAAAATGTGACTCCACTCACTTGGTGGTGGTGGGGTGGGTGTTTGCAGGGGTGATTGAAGTCTTTTTACCTCACTTACAGAAGATTTCCATAAAAGAAAAGGGGATGGAGAAATGTGATCTGCACAAGTGCTGGTTTTGTTTGTTGTTTGGGAATGAACCCAGGGATGATGATGATGATGATGATGATGATTTTTATCACTGAACTACACCCTCAATCCTTCTTTTAACTTTTTATTTATTTTGAGTCAGGGTCTCTCTAAATTGCTAAAGGTCTTTCTAAGTTGCAGAGACTAGCCTGGAACTTGCTATCATCCTGTCTCAGCCCCACAGTCACAGGGATTATAGGCATCCTGTACTGTTTGAGGGTTGTAAGTAATACCACAAATTTAATACAAAGTGAAAGAGCGTCTCTGAGGATGAACTTGGCTAGGGGCAAGGCATCCTAGGAAATAGAAGTTGGTTCTGTATTTTTTCTTTTAATGGCTTGAATATCTGGGTCAGATAGGCATTCAAATTTGCTCATCATTTGGGAATTCTTATTGATAAAAAATGTATATGGATTTTAGGAATCTAAGAATTTGTGGCACTTCTTGTTCAAATGAATACTTCTGTTTTAGGTGAAGCATGTTTAAACTTGAGCTTATTTTTCTTCATTCAGAAACATTTTGGGGGGTGTCTGCTGCACTAGGCATTGATCTAGAAATAATGAATCATGTACCTGGAGGAGCTCTCCAGCTTCTGATGGACAAGTGCCCTTATCATACTTGACAGTAATGAATATTACCGATTAAAAAATTTAACCTACATGCATATTTTTAAAGACCATTTACCTTTTAAAGTAGTCACTTGCAGTGGATTTATTTGCTTTGGCATCTCTACTCTGAAGTCAATTTAAGAGCAAATTCATGCTCCTCATCTCCAGTGGGGACATTCAGTATTTGTTAATCTCTTGACCCTCTAAGGAGTATTCACATGGAAAGTGGGAATTTTCCTTGACTTCTGTTTTCTTTAAGCTTTCCTTCCTTTCCCTCAGTATCCTACCCACTGGAGTAAAAGCCCCATGAAATATACTTTATTAATCACATTAGAAAGTTTAAGTCAAGGACATAGGAAAAGGAACAGTATCCTTTATTTAATATCATTCACAAAATTATTATGTGAATCTGCAATGATTAAAAGTCCTGTCAAGAATTTCAATAACATGTTAACTTACTCTAAAGAATTCAAAAGGCAGATGTATTCAGATTTTGAAAATCTATTTTAAGTCTTAATAGAAGAGAAAACTGGAGTGGTTATTAATTTTGAAACCATATATATATTGTGAAATTTACAAGTTGATATATGACATATAGAAAATAAGGATCATATATAATATTATCCACAATTTATAAGTAAAAAAATGATTTATCAAACTGATGTGATCGTGGTTATAAAGAGAAACTGGAAGAGAGAAAGATTTGGCATTGAGGTTTTGATACACCCTTCAATAAGTCAAGAAGCTAAAAATGGTGTCAGTTTTCTATATAGTAGTTTTGACATTTGAAAAATTAAATCTGGAATTATATTTTTAGGAACACACTGCATAGTAATTCATTATTTTTCATATTGGGACTGTAATATGCTTCCAAAACCTAATGCAGCACCTCAGGTGCACACTGGGGAATAAGTTTTATGATAGCGACTGTCATAGGATTGTTAGGAACTAAGAAGTGGTAATTACATGGCCTGATTCAATCTCCATTGAGTATGTATAATAGATAATGGCAGGAAAATTATCTTATAGTCACATGAATTTCTCATAGTAAGTATAAAAATGGAATGTAATTGAATTAATTTGGAAAAAATTAATTTTAATAAGTGCATGAAAATAAAATGGAATAGGCAAGAAGTTGGTGAAATGTTTTCTGAAGGAATTTCAGGAATAAAGAGTAAGGAAGATTGTGCTAAAGAGAAATGAGAAGGGTATGCTAAAGAGAAATGAGTTTTTAACCTTTTTCTGTAGTTTTATACTAGATATGCAAAGGCCAAAGAAATGCTTATATAATGAGGAATTTTTCTCTAAATATTCCTTTTTTAATAAGGAGAATTAAAACCCTGTATTAGAGTTATATTCAACTTAGGAACTTGATTCAGAATGCTAATCTCTGGAACATTTGAGATGTTAATCATTATTTTGGTGTAATTCTTTTGAATAATAGGAATAGTAATACATAGAGTTTTGGGATAATCAGATAAAAATAAACAAGGTATTCTTCTATTTTATGTGTACTTACTATATCTGCAGAGCTACTGTATATCCCCTGACACTTTGGGATACCCAGTGTGTTGAACTATCTATTTATTTCATTCTTGACATTATTTGCATTTGCATTTGAACTTGCATATACCCCATTTAAAGTATAAATACAGAGAAATTTAGATTTATTCATAACATATAACATAACTGAACAATAATAAAGAATATGTTGTTATCCCATTTTGGCTTTGGAGTATTTAAAATACTTAAATTTTACAGAAATTTTTTTTACAGAAGTATTTAAAACACTTTAACTCATCATTATCAAGATCTTTTATTGCGCGTTATGACTATAGGACTTTAAAAAAGAGAGAAGCAGAGAAAGAAAGAGGTCATTTGACTTATTTTACATCCCTTAATTGGAATAAATTAGGACATAATAGATGTAGCCAAATGCTAGATGTTTATATTACAATCATCTACCAAGGAAGCCATGGCATTAAGTTCCCTAATATAATTTCTGATGTGGGGTACACTTTAAATTTTTTTTCAATTGATCTGAGGAAATGGATGGTGTCTAGACTTCTTTCCTTTCACCTTGTCCCTGACATTTCCATTAAGAATATTCTTTAACTGTGTCCACTTGCATGTGCTGGGCTCTGGAGGGCTAGCATCAATATTAAAAGGAAGTACAGAAGGGTGTGCTAAAGAGTCCAGCAAGCATGTTTCTATGTTACTGTAGGACAGAAATGAAATCTACTCATTAAACTTTAATTGGGTCTCATTTCACTGCAAAATACTGTCATTTTTAGGGCCTAAAATCTGGCAAACTAGAGAAGTACTGGTCACAAGAGCCCATCAAGATCTGGGGCGGATGGGACCTCATTAAGTCATATTCTAACCTTCTAGTTATTACCTGCTCTGAGTGTTCAAGTCCAGGGTTATTATAATGCGTTCATAAACTGATAGTGAACTCTAAAAAAATAGATGTCAGGAATTGGATTTTTAGCACAGATTACATGAAAACCCATTTTGGAGGCACACTGTCTTTCAGATAGTTCAGATGTCATCTCAGATCTTCATGTATTGAGATCCACCTTGGCAGAGGGATCTGTCAGATGCCTGAGCAAGGCAGCTAACTCACACATCTTAGTTAATTTTCAAATTCACATATGTACATCTACACGTATTGTATTAACTAAAATACATTTTTGTTTATGTCTTAGTCTTCTTGAGTTGCCATAATAAAATCCATACACTGGGTGCTTTAAACAGCAAGCATTCATTTTCTCATGGTTCTGAAAACTTGGAAGTCTAAGGTCAGGGTGTCAGCATGCTTGGAGTCTGGTGAAGGTTCTCTTCCAGGCTTGCAGATGGCTGCCTTCTTGTGTCCTCACCACAATCTCTTTCTTGGTTTATACACTTGGAGAGAAAGGAGATATTAATCCGCCTTTGTCTCTATCTCTGTCTCTATCTCCCTCTCTCAAGCCATCGATTTGTCAGATTAGGATCCTACCCTTAAAACCTCCTTTAACCTTAATTACCTCCTAAAAGCCCTATCCTCAAATACAGTTATTTTGGGAGTTAGGCTTTAACATATGCATTTCAGGGAGACACAGTTCAGTCCATAGCACTTTCCATGAGGGCTATACACTTGTACAACCACCTGTATTTCTTAAGCCCATTTCCCATCTTATTAATGAAAGCCCTCTGGCTTTCTGGGAATGGCTATGCATCTGAATGTTTCTGATGAAGATTCTGAGCCTATAAACTGACAAGTGGCAATACATCGGGAGGGGTGGCTCTGTGCTCATACCAGAAGTGAAACATTTGTAGGAGGATGCTTTCACTGCATCTACAAATTGCTTAAATTGCTTCTTTTGTCAAATTTCTGTAAAAATAAAATCAAGTAGATCCAGGTAGTCAATGCAATTCTAAGAGTGGCTTGGGAATTTTATTGATTGCATTAGCTTTTCAAGGCTTTAGCTTTTTAAGGTTTAGGAACCACAGAGTAGTAAATTCCTGCTTTCCTCCCCTGCTCCAGGGACTAACTGGCTGTTAAGATGCAGCTAAATGACATCTTGGGTTCTGAGGCATGGGTGGTTGGCTGACTGATACTGCTGGCAGATGCTCATATTTTCAACAGTTTGACCAGCCTGCTGTCCTGTGAGAGGCAATGATTCATACTTGGTGTTTCTGGAGCTCAAAGGAAGCTGCCTTTCACCTCTTCTTTGTAATATTCAGCCATCATTTTCATTTTTGATGCTATGTAAAATTAGATAAATATTTTTTGTTCTGTGGAACGTGTCAGGATAAAACCCTGGATGTGTCCCACCCTGAACCTCATTATGTAAGAGCCTTTTGTACCAGAGGTACTTCCTTGTCAGATCCATACTTAGAAACTTGTTCAAGGGCTTCTCATGGGATTCTGTTGGTGCAGCTTAGAAATCCCAAACTGGGCTCTGCTTTTCCTTTACCCAGTGCTGCACAAATCCAAGCCATCTCAGAGGGAAAGGCAGGGGAGGTTGCTTAACACTGTCAAGTATGCAGCCCTTCAGAACAATTGCCCCATCTCAGTTCCAAAATGAGTAGCCAACAGAAAGCATGGTCACTTCTAAAGTACCAGAAGAATCCCATTATATCTCCGGTTTTATTTTTGAGCATAAAGTCGATGCTCTCTGTTCTAATATTGCTAGAGCCACAGCCCCTTCTTAGTAGTCATGAATGGGTTTCAGCTGTGGGGGCTGGCAAAAGGCCAGCATGTGACCAGGCATTAGAAAGCAAAGGGTTTTTTCCCCAAATGAGCATTCTCAATTTCTGCTGAAGATTCTGTTGGACTTGAGTCTGTCTTGCAGAAATGGCCAACTCTCCCCAGGTTGGGAGTGTCCTGTTGGTGGGAGAAGCTGTGAACAATCTAGAGGAAGCTCTTTTAATGGCATCCCACTTAGTTGTTGTTTTTAAAGTGTTAGATTCAGCATTCATTATTCCAAGTTTTTAAAAATCTCCTTTAAGATAAGAGATATTATCAAGGCCTCTCTCTTGTATGGAGGATAATGACAGGAGACCAGAAAACAGGAGGAATTGTTAATGTGTTAGCTAGGCCCTGACTAGGAAGACAATTTTAGCTTTATTACAGAGGATGGGAGGATGACATAACACTTACTGGTCAACTTCTAAAGTATCAGGTGTGGGTCACAGGCTTCCTGAGGGTGGTACTTCATCTTCATGGTTGTACTTCAGGGCGGGGCCAGGTACCATTCTCAGGCAAGTGGATGGCTGGGCTACCCTCACCAGAGTGCAGAGCACCCAAGACTAGAGAAGAAAGCATAAACAAATTAGAATGAAGGAAAAAGATCTTCTTTCGACCACATACAGATGTGAGGCTGAATTTGAACACTGCAGTTTACCAGTTCTCTGCTCCATAAGTTTATGCCCTTCTCTCTGCTAGTCTGATTCTGAAACAGAAGGACCAAAGCCACTCAGGTTGGCTTTGGCTCAGAAGCTTTTCATTCGCAAGTAGTCTGGGATGCCTATTAAAGGGTTTCAGTCTGTACTAAGTGCTTTGAGACTGGCTATAATTTTTAAAATGAACCTTGGATGACCAAAACTATTGTGTCATAGAACCTTCGATAAATAATTCTCATTCAGTCACCGAATCTAATGCGTCACAAATTTTTCCACCTCGAGACCTCCCTGAAGCCCTTAGCCCAGTCCTCACACCCACATCACAAAAAGCTCAGTGTTTGGCTAACCCATGTTGCGTGGGAGGCACACAGGACAGGCTGCAAGCTGCCTGGGGACACTGGACTCCTCACATTGAAATGATAAAACGATGTTCAGATGAAAAGCAATATTTCTATGTATTGCTTAATGTTCCTTTATATCCTGTTTATTTTTAAAAGTACTCTCAAATGGAAAAGCCACTTGATAATATTTTTTAAAGGTTGAACATGATGGTTTCCTCATTTGTGCTACTGTTACAATGTTATATAATAGAATTTATATTGATTAACCATAGTTTCTATACACTGTACTAACAGATTTCTATTTATTGTACTATTTCACATATATGAGCCCTGGGGCATTAATGGGAAATTATCTCTGCAGTCATTTCTAAAGCAGGGCCTATTTTGAGAGCCTCCTCAATTATGCCTGAGTAATGAAATCCAATCTATGACTGTACTTGGAGTAGACTAAATTCACATAACAAGATCCCTCTCCTTGTGAGGGCTTGAAAAATACCAAAGAGAAGCAAACGAACTATAGGTTATTTATTTTTTTCACCACAAATACATAAATTTTGCTCCTCCTCTTGATTCATGAGAAAAACTGGGAAAATAATCTTTGTTTCGCCACATTCTTTGGCAATGGATTATTTTGCAAAAATAGGTATTTATTGATAGAACTTGGTGATTAGTCTCTGCTAAGTCACTGCAGGAGTGAGTTAAGTAATTGATAAGCAACAAGTTAGAAGCCTATAAAAGAAAGAATACTTGTTAGTAAAATAGAAACTTCTTAGATATAGACACTCTCCCTCTGTATCTCCAAATGGCATCCCCTGCCCAGGTGTTTAATCTCTGGGAAAGGCAATACAGGAAAAATAATTACATATAGTTTAAAAAGCCAGGTGTCCAGGCTGTGCTCTAAACCATGTTCAAAGGGGCAGGCATGAGCAACCCGGCAGGGGAGGATCAGCAAAGGCAAGGAGAGGGGAAATGAAATTGTAGGAGAGGCTCCAGCTTTGGAGTAAAAAGAGTATGGGAAGAGTCCTGGCTCTACCAGTTTATAACCATTTTCCAAAACATGTTTGGTAATTACTTTTTATTTTCATTTTTATGTGAGTGTGAACAAGTACACACAATTCTATGACATTTTCAGTTTTGTATTGACAAGTAGAAAATAATAAGAACCATTTATCAATTCCTAACTTTGTCAAATTTTAATATTTTTATAATTGCTTTAGTGTTTTGTTTTGTTTTTTTTTAGAAAGAAACATTATGGTATACTGAAGTCCTCTGTGTTTCATTTCTTAATCACATTTTCCTACCTGCCTGTCTTCCCCAGAGGTGTCTATTGTCCTGAATTTGGCATTTGTCATGATTTTGCTTGTTTCTTTTCATATTTTACAGCATGTACATATCCATAACCAATAATTATCTTGTTTTAAATTTCATATAAATGGTATTGTTTTTGTTGTTATTTGAGATTTATTTATAAAGATATTTGTTGTTATTTGAGATTTGTTTATAATAGTACATGGATACCACTCATTCATTTTTGCTACACTATATTTCATTTTAGGAATATTTAATTATTCATCCACCTAATGATAAAAATTTAGGCTGTTTTCAAAAATGATTTTTTTTTCAGTTATAAAGTTTAACTAGACATTCTGGTCCATGGCTCCCTTTGCCTGTATTTCAGTTTCTTTAAGGCATATTCCCAGAAGTTAAGTTATTGGCTTGTACAATGTAGGCACCTTCAACTTACTAGAAATTGCCATGTCACTCCCAAAATCCCAAACTGTGCTAATTTATACTTATATGAATGATATAGCAGAGTTTCTTTTCCCTGTCTTATTTGTGTACAGTAGCATTTTAAGTTGCATTTTTTTCTGATTACTGCTGGAGTTGGACATATTTTATGTTGATTGGCCATTTATGTTTTTCTTCAAAAATATTTTCTATGGGTTGTTTGTTCCTCATTTCTTGACTAATAGGACTTTTTTTAAAAATTTCTGTTACTTAACCTTTCTGGTTTTAAGTACTGAAAATATCTTTTCCTACTTGGTATCAAGTTTTGTTTATGGTGCATTTCTTATGAAAAATATTTAATTTGTATGTTTTTATAATTATCAATCTTTTTATGGTATGTGCTTTGATATATTTTAGAAAAGTTTCTCCTTACTCCAGCTCATAAGATATTATTCTATACAATTTTCTAAAAATGTTAAAGTTTTGCTTTTACTATTTATATCTTTAATCTGGATACACTAAAATTTTGCATATGATATTAAGTAGGGTCCATACAGATTGCTAATTATTTTAGTACCATTTAATAAATGGTATTTGAGAATATTACTTGAGAATCAGCCTTTTAAATTCCAAGAAAAATACTGTGGTATTTTCATGGGATTTTTACTTTCTATAAATGAACAAAGAATAGCTTTCCATTTATTTGGGTCTTCCCTAACTTTTTTTTTTTTTGTATGTGTGTGTGTGTGTGTGTGTGTGTGTTTGTGTGGTGCTGAGGATTGAACCCAAGGCCTTGTGCATGCAATTTGATTATTGATTTCAAACAAATTGGTTTGTGTTCCTTCTTGGATAACATGCCCCTTCTTTATGATTGCTTTCCACATTTTCTCTTTGTTTTGCAGTTTAACTACAGTGTGTCTAAATATGGATTCTGCTTTTATGTATCCTACTGGGGACTGGTTTTATGAACCAAAGATTTTTGTTTTTAATCGATTCTAAATTCCAGCCATTTCCTTTCAAATCATGTGTCTGTCTTCATGTGATTCCCCAGTGTGGGACTGGTATAAGATGTATGTTTATAATCTTCTTCTATTTTCCTTATCTCCTAACCTTTTATTAGGTTTTATCTCTCTACCTCTCCATGCTGTGTCTTGGGTTAGTTCCTCAGATCTTTTAGTTCAGGGTTTCTCTCTTCACTTGACCTCAATCTGCCTATTACCTAGCCATTGAGTTTCTAATTCCATCAATTTTCTTTTTCATTTCTAGAACTTCTATTTTGTTATCATTGTTAATATTTTTGTATCACATATTCCTGCTGTTTTTACAAGTTCCCTCTTCTTTATTGATGTTTTCATTTCCTTCTTTCTTAATTCATGTTTTCAATTCCTCCTCTCATGTCTTTAATTGTTTAGAATATTCTTTTTTATACTTTCTGCGCATTAGTTCCATTACTTGGATTTCTTAGGGCTTTAATTCTTAGAGAATGTGTGTTTATACATGTACATGTTGGCCTTCATCAGTGAATTAATTTTTCATATGTTTGCTCATTTTGATGTGTGGGGTCATCTTCCAGGAGGCCTTACAGATGGTTTTGTCTTGCCATGTGTCCCTTTGGTATCATCAGCCTAGAGCCACTTCTTTTTTTCATAGTCTATTTATCATAGAAGATTTCTTGCACACACAAAAGCAGATACAATTGTATAATGAACCTCTGTGCTATTCCCATCACTCACCTTCAATGATTATTGTCTTGTGATCAAGCTATTTCATCAATATGTTCCTATACTTCCTCCATACCCACATATCACACGCTGAATTATTTTAAGTAAATCCCAGACTTCATAACATTTCATTCATAAATATTTTCCTATATAAGTTAAATAATAAAGACTATAAAATAATGAAAATACCAATATTACATCTAACAAGTTAATTTCATCACAGGATCACACGAGTGTTCAAATATGCATTATTTACTCATGATTATGTCTTCATAGTTTGTTCCAACTCAGGATCCCAGTAAGATCTATATGCTGAAATTGGTTCATATATTTCTTTATTTTTTTTAGTTGTAGTTGGACACAATACCTCTATTTCATTTATTTATTTTTATGTGGTGCTGAGGATCAAATCTAGGGCCCCACACATGGGAGGCAAGCGCTCTACCGCTGAGCCACAACCCCAGCCCCTCTTTTGTCTTCTTTACTCAAGGATTTTCACTTTCTCTCTCCTTTCTATTATCTTTCTATTTCTCCCCACCCCACCCCACCTCCTTATTTGCTGACATATCCAAGTCTTTATACAAGGTCACTTTTATGTAACTTTCTCATCTTAATAGGATCCAGTATTGTGCAAATAGTTAAAATACCCCCAAACCCCTGAGCACAACAAGTTTTGTTGACATCCAGTGTAAGTGGGTTAATTACATTCTAGTCTTGTAAGTGTGTGGTCATTTAAGAAGTCTACACAAATGCCATAGTCTTGGTTCCAACTATCTATCTGTAGACTCAGGTGTATTGTTGGCCTGTGTGGCCATTAAAACCAAGACTTTTCTGTTGTGAAGATTGACTATCATTCTCCCTGCATGCTACTCCCACCTTTCTTTGGGATTTTTGCTTTGTCAATTTTTTTCATTTTTTGGAAATTTTGATATTAATAAAAAATGTGTTCTACATCTTATTCAGTATTTCACATCGCTTTATAAGGAGTTTTCTTATAATGTGGTTCTTAAATCATGCAGATATAAAACATCTTCTTGCTTTTAAATTTTTTTTTAGATTAACTTATAATTTTCTTAACCTTGTTGAGTCAAAATATTCTATATAATAGATGATGTCTTTTTACTTATTGTATAGTTTTAAGTAATAAATGAGCTAATATAAATAAAGTAATACATAAAAAAGAGCTTTTCTGGATGAGAATATATTTGAGCAGGTTTAAAGAATGAATATGACTGAGTTTAAGGTACTTGAAGGAGGCACATTACACCAGGTGGATAAGAAAGTGAAGGGACATTTTAGGTCAAAGGGGCAACTGGTGACCTGTTAGCATTTAACTCAGTTTTCATCCAGAACCAACATTACTGCTTCACAGTTCTGTTGTTTATGTTGATTCAGCCTTTTGAGTATATAATTGCAAAAATTCTCAATAGTTCCTATAA